TAGCCTGGTACGGGGCCTCGTAGCCTGGTGGATAGCACGCAGTACTCGTAATTCTGTGGCGCGGGTTCGATTTCCGCACGAGGCAGAAACAAATGGGCAAAGTTTCTTTCACCCTGAATGCCCCTGTTACCTAGCAGTAAATAGGTACCTGGGTGTTAGTCAGCTGTCACGGGCTGCTTCCTGGGGGTGGAGGCCTGGTCGAGGACCGAACCGCGGGGACACTAAAGCCCCGAAATCATCTCAAGATAACCTCAAGATAACCTGTTGATTGACGGTTGAGAGGCGGGACCAAAGAGACAGAGCTCAATCCCCGCAAGCACAATTAGGTGAGTACACACGCACAGGATGTATCTCGAAGCAGCTGTCTAACTCCCAGGTACCTTTTTACTGCTTGGTAAACAGAACATCAGGTGAAAAAAAATGCCTATTTCTTCCTCGGGCGGGAATCGAATCCGAACCCTTAGGGCTACTTTCTCCGAGCGCTGTCCACTCGGCTACGAAGGGGGATGGGAGGATGGGAGAGGATGAGGGAGGGAGGCGGTAGGGAGGTAGAGACAAGAGACTTTACAACCACAACCACGCTAGAGAGAGAAAAAGAGAGAGAAAAAGAGAGAGAGACAAAGAGAGAGAGAGAGAGAGAGAGAGAGAGAGAGAGAGAGAGAGAGAGAGAGAGAGAGAGAGAGAGAGAGAGAGAGAGAGAGAGAGAGAGAGAGAGAGAGAGAGAGAGAGAGAGAGCCATAGAAGATGAGAGAGAGAGAGAGAGAGAGAGAGAGAGAGAGAGTGAGAGAGAGAGAGAGAGAGAGAGAGAGAGAGAGAGAGAGTGAGAGAGTGAGAGAGAGTGAGAGAGAGAGAGAGAGAGAGAGAGAGAGAGAGAGAGAGAGAGAGAGAGAGAGAGAGAGAGAGAGAGATGTGACCACTGCTAATGATGCCAATATCAAGGGCCCCGGCTGCCTGAAGAGGTGCCAGACCGTGTACTCGTCCTCAGCTCCTCTCATCAACATAGTCCATCATGTCAATAAGACACAGAACATCTATTTGCGTCACTAGACGTCATCTTATTAATCGCATATTATTCACAATGAACTCAAAACGAGGTGATTAATTATATGGAGGTCACTTAACTTTGATACTATAATAGTATCACTTTAATTTGATACATTGCAAGGTAGTTTTCTCACTAAAACAATCGAGCAAACATCAAAGCAACTTGACTTTGTAACTGAACACCAACATTGGATCAGCAAAGACAGGTCGACAAGAGACGCGAGCCGCTGTGGGAGTGGAGAGCATCAGTATCACTCCGTCACATCCATGACACACGAGAGACATATGTGAGGACAAAAACCTCCCCCCACCGTGAGTGACTAACAAGAAACAAGTGCGGGTCTCGGTCATGGCAGCATTTAGCACGCTCGTTCCCGGGTAAAAATGGATGGCGTCAGTATATGAAAGTGGTTTCCGATACACTGGTAGGGGGGACGGCGTCCAATATAGGTGTGGCGGTACTGCTGCTCTCAACGCTTCAACGTTCACACTCCTGGCAAACCTCACACTTTACAACAACTACACTTTGCTTCACTACAACAGCTACCCTTTGCTTCAAAACTACATTGTAGCAAGTACCCTTTGCTTCAAAACTACATTGTAGCAAGTACCCTTTGCTTCAAAACTACATTGTAGCAAGTACCCTTTGCTTCACAACTGGATTGCAGCAAGTACCCTTTGCTTCACAACTGCATTGTAGCAAGTACCTTTGCTTCACAACTGCATTGTAGCAAGTACCCTTTGCTTCACAACTGCATTGCAGCAAGTGGCCTTTGCTTCACAACTGCATTGTAGCAAGTGCCCTTTGCTTCACAATGTATTGCAGCAAGTACCCTTTGCTTCACAACTGCATTGTAGCAAGTACCTTTGCTTCACAACTGCAGCAAGTACCCTTTGCTTACTGCATTGTAGCCCTTTGCTTCACAACTGCATTGTAGCACCCTTTGCAACTGCATTGCAGCAAGTGGCCTTTGCTTCACAACTGCATTGTAGCAAGTGCCCTTTGCTTCACAATGTATTGCAGCAAGCACCTTTTGCTTCACAACTGTATTGTAGCAAGAGCCCTTTGCTTCACAATGTATTGTAGCAAGTGCCCTTTGCTTCACAATGTATTGTAGCAAGTACCCTTTGCTTCACAACTGCATTGCAACAGCTCAGTAATCTTAACGTTATGATTGCTTGAATCTAAATTTCAGTGCACTAAATGTGAGGGCGGGTTTAATGTGCTTCGAGTTGTATACAGTTTTATATTGTCATTATAGGTCAAAGGTCAAGGGACTAGGGGCGCCTGCAGATGCGAGTGAGGTGACTCACTTCCTTATAAACTAATCTCAAGCTGAGTAATGATTAGGGTCTCGTAGTGCAGTTGGCTGCGCTCTCGACTCCCAATCGGGGGATCAGGGCTCGATTCCCGGGCGGGATAGAAACGATTGGGCACGTTTCCTTTCGCCTAATG